GCTATGTGAAACCATCGCTATGCGAAACACCATTTCCCATAGGAATGCATTGGAAACCAGTTAATCCGTTCCAATTGGAATGGATTGCCGTTGTTAAGCGAAAAAACCCATAGGAAACATCGCTAAGTGAAACAATGTTTCCTCCATTGGAATGTATTGAAGCTGACTCAATACATTTCAATGGCTTTGCGAAGTCAATGTTTTGCAATTTTAAATGTGTCATACAAGGGGCAAAAATGGGTTTAAATGCTTGGATTAGCTTCTGCACCCTCTAAAACGGATGCAAAAGTTAATTTGGCTTTGATCTGACTTTTCGTTAATTTAGGGTGAATTTTTTCCCCCCAACTTTTGACAGCTGTCAAAATCTGACAGCTCCATTATTTCCTATGGGGGAAGAACAAATTCACAAAAAATTAACGAAGACTCAGCAACTGTTCTAAATGCTTGGGTTCGTTAGAGGGACCCCCTAAGTCATGTGCAAACCTGATTTGGCTTTGATCTGAACTTTCGTTAATTTATGGCGAATTGTTTTCTCCCCCATAGGAAAGCATGGAGCTGTCAGATTTTGACAGGTCCATTGGTTCCTATGGGCTGAAAAAAAAATTAACCATAAATTAACGAAAAGTCAGATCAAAGCCAAATCAGGTTTGCACATGTCTTAAGGGGTCCTCTAACGAATCCAAGCATTTAGAACCGTTTTTGACCCTTCTAAGACACTTTTTTAATTGAAAAAAACACATCGTTAAGTGAAGCAGGGGACCTAAAATCGCATTCATTATGCGAAGCATGGTCCCAAACTTCGCTAAGCGAAAATCGCCCATAGGAAACATCGTTATGCGAAACATATTATTTTCTAAAAAAACACATCGTTATGCGAATTCATCGCTAAATGAGGCAATCGTTAAGTGAGGCACCACTGTACCTTTTTAATGCAAATATGGGGAGGGAGGTTTCGTCACAGGTTACTTGGATATTATAAAAGGGAGTCATAACTCAAAAAGGTTGTAAAACACTGTTATAGACACATGATTTTTTACAGTAGCTGTATATATATGCCTGCTTAGATAAACTACTTCACCAACTGTCAGTTCATCTATCTGTCAAGTCACAAGATAATCACTTTCAAAAAGATTTGCATTATAAAATAGGATATTGTATTATAAAAATTGAATAAATAAGATCCTTAATAAATGTCTTGAGCAGTATAAACATGTGATTTTTTTAGTTTTAACATGTATTATTGTTTGTTTATTTACAATTTTATCCCCTTTCTCCTTAAGAGGACCCAAGGCAGCTTACATCATTTAATAAAAACAACAGTATTTAAAAGGTATCACCAGCTCCGCATTTGCATTGTTTCCACGACCAAGCGGCCTTTTCCTGATTTTATTTAAAAGCTGTTCATGAAGTTTGCAGGGTTACAACTAAGCAACATA